GACTAGGTAAAAAAGATGAAGAGATTGAGAAGTATAGATTGGCAGTTACGAATGGTCATGGGGGTGTAAAGTACAGCACAGGGAATACAGTTAATAATATTGTGATACTTGTGTATGGTACCAGGTGGGTACTGGAAATGTTGGGGGGGACACTTTATAAAGTATACGATTGTCTAACCACAATGCTGTACATCTGAAACTAATATATAATAATACCAAATGTAAACTGTAATTGAAAAAAATAAAAATTAACATCTAGAAACAAATGTTTAATTCACAAGTATGTAATTATTTTATGACAATTAGTTTATAATATTCTTTCATTATTCTGTCCTTTTGACACCACCTCCACCTATTAAATACAAAAGATAACTTTACATTAGAAAAAGATATAATTCTTAAGATGTATGAGACAATGTCAGCTTTAATTATCATTGTGGTGTTAAAATTATTGAAAGTAGATTCCCATCACTGGGAAATCTGTATTGTTAAACTGTCATTACAGCCAACAAACTGCTGTGGATAAGATACAAATATTTTAAAGCTCTATTTTATTTTATTTTTATAATCTAAAATATAAGTAAAGATTTAAGGTAACAACATGAAAACACAATACTCTTTTAACGGTAACGTAGGAAAGAAAATTAGAGACTGAATATAAAATGAGGACTGGAGAAATTATGCTGTGAATGTAAGATAATATAGGTATTACATTTCCTGTAAAACTAGTTTTGAATTTTTTGTTGGTCAAAGGAAAAAAAACAAAAAACAAAACCACAATGGGCCAAAGGAATCCTGACAATTCTCTGGCAAAGAATACCTTTTTCTCGAACTCCAGATTCTAAGGGAAAATTGTCACGTGTAACTTTACAAAACAGAGATACATAAAACTTGAACAGTTTTGAAGAGAATGCAAACCCTTACATATGATTCGTTAATACAGTCCAGGGCATAAACTGAATTCAGTTAAAGCACTTTGGGGGGAAGCACCCTTCTACTCCATCACTCCAACGACGCTTGTCATATGGAGCAACAGCAACCAAACACCTGTGTCACACACAGAAAGTCATCTCTTAACTGAAATTCAAAGTTAACTGGAAATCCTCTATGTGACAACCCTGCCTCCAGCACACCGAAACACTCTGCCCTATGCCCAGTGTCCCTCAATAAAAAGAAAGTGACTTTTCATGTAGCAGGAAGCACAAGCAAACTATACAAATTCCACTGCTTATCAGCTAATGGAATTTTATTATATTTTACTTATATTTTCAGAAATTATTGATACCGAAATATTTTAGTTGTTTCTAAAAGAAATTTTTGAAAGTTTATTACAGATGTAGAACATAAAATAAAAATATTTAAATTGAAAACAAGCAAATTTTTAAAATTTCAGAAACAAAAAAGTTATCACTAAGATGAATTCTGTTTTATTAAATAATTGTTGAACTATAAGATAGATGAGAGTGATAAGCCAATTTATTTTCTGCTTAATAAACTATAATTTATCTTACATTAAAAAAGACATTTTAGCCCTGGCCGGTTTGGCTCAGCGGTTAGAGCGTCCGCCTGCGGTCCGGAGAGACCCGGGTTCGGTTCCTGCTAAGGGCATGTACCTCGGTTGCAGTTTGTCCCCGGCCCTGGTTGGTCGTGCGGGTGGCAGCCACTCGATGTATCCCTTTCACATCGATGTTTCCCTCTCTCTCTCTTCCTCTCTCTCCCTCCCACTCTGTCTGTACAAAAAAAAAAAAGATGTTTTATGAGAAGCATAATACATACTTTAACTGTCCAGGGAACAAATTTTACATTAGGGTTTAAAAAAAAAGACTGAAATCTAGAATGACGATTAAGAAAACGCAGTAACAAAGTGTTGGTCCTGAATGAAAAAAAGAGGAAGACAATCTCTATGGAGCCATATAAGTAAATCTTATTTTACTTAATAAAATTTAAAAATTTTAGAAACTTCCCTGGCTGGGTGGCACAGTTGGTTGGAGCATCATCCCGTACACCACAAAGTTGCAGGTTTGATTCCCGGTCAGAGCACATACCTAGGTCGCAGTTTCCATATCCAGTCAGGGCATGTACGGGAGGCAACTGATCAATGTTTCTCATCTCTCTCTCTCTCTCTCCCTCTCCCTCTCCCTCTCTCTCTCTCTCTCTCCCTCCCCTCTCCCTGTCTCCCCCTTTCTCTCTCTCTCAAATTAATAAACGTATCCTTGGGTGAGGATTAGAAAAAGAAAAGTTTTACAAAACTGAAACGAACATCCAAACTCTTGGTTCAAGGTGGTGGATGGCTAGACCACATTAATAAGACAGTAGCACATAAAAAAGGTGTAACTTCAAATAGCGTCAAGGATTCAGGGGGGCGCTGAGCCTAGGAGACCTTTCATCAAATTTCCGAAAACTATAAAGCCGATGGAGGAGTAAGGACTGACAGGGAGGGGATGAGAATCTGTGCCTAGACACACGGGGCCGGGGCCACCTCGGAGATGCAGCTTTGGTGGAAGATGGGAACTAACTGGGGTGAACCCTGGAGAATGAGAGTCTGAGTAAGAAGAACCCACCACACACACCAGAGCAGCCAGGACTTTATGGCCCAGGCAACGCGCACACACCTAGCCATCTCTAACCAAAGCTGAACGAGCCTCTGACGTAACCAGAGCAGGCAGTGTGTCACTTGTACCCAGAACAAAGCACTCTGTATCCTGGCATGTTGGTACCCCTTCTCTCAAGACACTAGGAGGGCACATGCGCGTGCACACACACACACACACACACACACACACACCACAAAACAATAGCAACCTAGCCACTCAAATACTCCGAAACACAGTTTGCAAACCAACAAATTCTACCTATGTACCAAAATCTCCCAGGAAAACTCTATTCTTTACGTATTTATAAAGAAATATGAGGATAAAAAATATATGAGGATAAGTACTGTGCGGGGAACAGGGATGGGGGAAATTTTTCCCATATTGCCACCACTCAAAATGGACCAATATCAACATTTTCTATAAGCTCATTAAAATACAAAAGACAACCATGAATCACTAAATATTTGAGAAAGCGTGTAACGTGACAGAGAAAGATAAAAATAAACAAGCAGACACTGTTAAGAAAATGAATGGGTAAGCCATAGCTAAGACTTGTGGTCAGACTATATACAAGAACACTACAATTCTAAATCTAAAAAGCAAACAACCAAATTTTTAAAATGGGCAACTACTTGAATAGATATTTCACAAATATATATTTCATTAAAATATATATTTCATTATTATATTTATGCATACACATATATGTGTGTATCTATAACAAGCCCATGAAAAGATATTCAACATCACTTGGTCATTAAAGAAATGCAAATTAAAATCTTAATAAGACATCAGGACCTGCTTTTTATAGAATCTTATACAAATAGAATCATACAGTTTAGAGTCTTTGGCATCTGGCTTTTTTCATTTAGCATAATGTGTTGGAGATTCATCAATTTTGTTATATCTGTTGATAAAAATGGGGCCTCAAACTCAGATCTATTGTCTCCAAATTCACTGTACATCTACATCCACAGTATATGTTAAGAAAGGAAAAGGAAATAGTGATTGATTCTTCTAAAGCAGAATAATATAGAGTGTATCAGAAAGTTATATGCATAAAACAAAAAAATACACAAATGAATGGAAAATAAGATTAACCAATATTTGATACTTTTCTATGTATTTATATCAATTTTATACTTACCAGTTTATTATTGAAGGTTTTACTTTTTAGAAATATGATATAGTCTTTTATTCACTATGAAGAAGGTTGAGAAAAAATCTAATCCTTGTTATGCTATTTCCCTCCAAAGAATGATTCTGACCATTTCAAAAGAAGGTATTAGAATTAAGAAATTCCTAATAGTAGATATCCTGTTAGAAAATTAAAAAATAATTTAAATAGAATCACATCTGACATGTCATCAGATTGTTATTTATTCCTATCTATTTTATGTGGTATGGACTATAAAAAGGAAAAAGCTAAGATTATAACAAAGAAATTAGTGATTAAATGTACATTCTACTTAATCTATTGTGAATTTACAAAGGTAAGGTTAAAATATTTGGCAAAATATAATATATATATTTCTTTCTGCATCACCTGCAGCTATGTTTCATGTATTTTGATGGTGTTACTTTTTGCATAAAAATTCATAGCAGTCAAGTTTCCATTATTCCAGACACCTGTTTGTCTTGTTTGACAAACACTTTGTATCTTGAATTCCACCTTGCCTGATAGCTAATAGCTAACATTTACTGAGTTCACGCTACATTCCAGGCACTGTCCCAGACAGTGCCATACAATAAACACACAGAGGTAGAGAAGAAAAGGTGGAAAGAAGGCAGGTCATAAATAATGGACGAAATGATGGCAGGATATAGGTGTGCCTTTCTCTCAATTCAGTTGACCAAGGATTAAAGCAATCATTTGCTTTGTTGTGTGTAGAGATGTCAACACTATTTCAAACATTGATACTAAGTCAACTGTAAATAACACTGTTTCCAAAAATTATGGAAAAATTAAGAATGACTAAAAAACCAAACATTGCTGAATTTTTGTTCATTGGGTAAATAGTGGCCTGAAATAAGAATGAACATATAATTGAATTTAATAACAGGGGAATTTAATTTTTGAAATATTCTTGTATAATTTTGAATATTAAATCAATAAAAATAATAAAATAATTTTATTATTATTTTCAAAACACTTTCCTAGTCTTACTATTTGAATTGCACAGATAGAAACAGTGAGGCAAAGAAGTTCACACAGGCTGGAGTTTTCTAACCATGATAGGTAGCTTGTGTCTTGAAAAGATAATTGGTCTTTGCAACACGCATGCCTGGCATAGATGAATTGCGTTTAAATGACCATATTTTATAGTGTCTCTCTCTTGTTCTTACCACTTCTTTTCTAAATATTTTATAAGTTCACGAAACATTGTTTCTTTCTCAAATTACATTTCAAAATCTTACTTTTAAATACCGTTCTGTTCCAAGATATGATGACTGTGTGCCCACGTGCTGGAAAAGGGAAGGTTTATATCGAATACGAATTTGCTTATTTCGTTCTGCACATTTGTCCTGGGGGAAAAGTAAGGGAAACAACAATCTTTGGTTAAAACCAAAATACTCTGTTTTATTACATTTACTGATGGCAAAATTTTTTATCATTTTAGTTTTGCCAGCAGTCTATATTGATATCTTAAAATTTAAACAAAACTTTTTTCTTTTGAATAAGAGAACAAAAGAGTTGCGATACAAAGGGGCTTTGATTAAAGCATGTATTTCCACGAAGTCTGTCTTAGAAAATCAGGCTACTGTTGCAGCCACTACAGTGGTCTACCCCATCTGCACGAGCCATGTTCCAAGACCCCCGGTGATGCCTGAAACCACAGACAGCACTAAACCCTGTACCTACTGTGGTTACCCTTATACATGCATAGGTATGATAAAGTTTAATTTATAAATTAGGCACAGTAAGAGATCAACAACAATAATTAATAATGAAATAGGACAGCTATAACACCATACTGGCATAGAAGTTACGTGAATGAGGCATTACTAAGTACAATAAGGATTACTCCAACACGATACTGTGACAGTTGATCTGATAACTAAGCTGATTACTATGCGACTAATGGGACGGAAGCTGCACAGCGTGGGGATTCTGGACAAAGGGATGATGCCCATCCTGGGCTGGACAGGTCTGGAAGGCTCAAGGCATCATTACATACTCAGAGCGGCGTGCAATTTAAAACTTATCAATTGGGTATTTTTGGAATTTTCCATTTAATATTTTTAGACTATGGTTGACCTCAGCTAACTAAACTATGAAAATTAAAACCAAATATAAGGGAGCGGGGATACTGTATAATTTTCCTCTCCCTTTCTCTTTATTCAAAACATAAATGAAGTTATTGTTTTCCTATCTACCCATTTCCCTCAGACTACATATTTTCTCTTCCCATATTCCTTTCCTAAATCACACCTGTCTCATTTCTTCTTAAATAGTAAAAAAGTATAGGATTATAACAAAGAGCCAATTTTATATTTCATGAAAATAGATTTGGATAATTTCCTTTAAAATAAAAATAAGATAACTCATGGCATCACTCCTACTACAAACAAACATTTAAAAGTATTCTGGCCCTGGCCAGTTTGGCTCAGCAGTTAGCGCGTCAGCCCGCGGACCGGAGAGTCCCGGGTTTGGTTGCGTACCTCGGTTGCAGTTTGTCCCTGGCCCTGGCTGGGGTTCTGTGGGTGGCAACCACTCGATGTGTCTCTCTCACATTGATGTTTTTCTCTCTCTCTCTTCCCCCCTCTCTCCTTCCTGCTCTATCTGAAAATACGTGCAAAAATGTCCTCTGATGAGGATAAAAGAAAAAACAAAGTATTCTGATTGCTATCTGAAATTTATTTTATATACTGTATTTCTAGAAAATTCATTAAAATACATCTCCAATTTATATACATAATAATTTTTTAAATTGCAGGCTTATTTGAATGCATTTCTGCTCAGTGCTGACATGTAGACTCAGCTCCTCCAGTTCTGTCACCCTTAGCTTTATGTATTTTGAGGCTCTGTTGTTAGATGCATACGCTTCTAAGGACTGTTACATCATCTTGGTGATCTATCTGACCCTTTTATCAGTATATAGTGTCTTTCTTGATTCCAGGTTAATTTTATTTTTTGCTCTGGAGTCTACTTTGATATTAATATAGCTACTACAGGTTCCCTTGTATTAGTGTCTGCATGGAATATCTTTTATTGTCTTTTAACCTATCTATAGTATTATATTTGAACTGAGTATAGACAGAAATTAATTGCATAGTGTTTTTAATCCACTCTGATAAACTGTCTCTTAATTGGTACATCTTGGCTATTTATATTTACTTGATGTAAATATTGACGTTTGGCTTTACGTCTGCCATTGTATTGTGTTTCTTGGGTTTTTTTCCGTTTGTTCACTGTTTTTGTCCCTGTGTTTCCACTTTTCCCTGAATGTTGGCTTCTCATTACTTCATTTAGTAGGTAGAGTATCAGTAAAAATTTAGAATACTGGAAGTTAAAAAGTTGATGCATTCATCAGAGTAGGTTTGGTAAACAAATTTTAGGTAATTATATTAGACAGATAGTATTTTTCTAAAATATTTGGCATTTACAAAGTAAAGACGTACTCACAGGAGTTTCTCCTGTATGACACATCTTCACCTGTAAAAGGTCCAGCAGGAGCAAATCTATGGGTTTGTCTTTGTAGAACATTAAAAAAAAGCGTATGAATTCAGTTAAGTCCTCAGATTTAAAGAGCTTTCCTGTGGAGAAAAAGTAAACAAGTCCAAATAACTCTTTAGTATTTATACTACACATCATAACATAACTCTTGTATATAGTTGTTCATTCTATTAGCATGAGAAAAAAGCAAAAAAAAAAAAATTAAAAATAAACATACCTCATGCCCTGGCCTGGTGGCTCAGTTGATTGGAGCATACCATACACCAAAAAGGGTTGCAGGTCTGTTTTCAGGTCAGGGCACATACCTAGGTTATGGGTTCGATCCCAGGTCAGGGTGCATACAGGAGGCAACTGACCAATGTTTCTCTCTCACATTGATGTTTCTCTCGTTCTCTCTCTCTCTCCCTTCCTCTCTCTAACATATCCTAGGGGGATGATTAAAAATTAACACATATACCCAGCTGTTGTGGCTCAGTGGTTGAGCATTAACCCATGCACCAAGAGGTTGCCAGTTGGATTCCCGGTCAGGGCACATGCCTGAGTTGTGGGCCAAATCCCCAGGGGGGTCAAGTAGGAGGCGGCTGATCAATGTTCTGTCTCATCATTGATGTTTCTATCTCTCTCCTCCTCTCCCTTCCTCTCTCCCTAAAATCAATAAAGAAAAAAATTTACAAAAAGTAACATATCTTATTCTTTAAAAAAAAGTTTAAACATTAATAAAGTTGGAGAATAATAAAGCAAAATAATATATCTGCTTAAGTGTTAAGGATTACCACTTCTGGGGGTAGGGGAGAAAGTGTGAAACAGGTTTAGAATAGGGAATACTCTCAGGAAATCAATGTTGATAACTAATTAAAGGATCAACTGTCTAAATCAAGTGAAAGTTCTGTAAATAAAATCGAAAGTATAGGAGCTGTATTCTTTTACTAATTGGCCAGAAACTGTGATTTGTAACCTGACTTTTATAAACTTGATCAGTCTACCACGTTTTTCACTTATAGCACGTAATTTTGATTGATAGTATTAGTTCAGTATTTGAGCATTGTTTTATAATAATGTTATTTTTCTTTTATACTTATGATTCTTAAAAATTGCTACATTTTAAAGTCTGATTTCATTACAGCCAGTTACTTTTTTTCTAATACATTGCACTTTAATTTTAAAATGAAGTTGAGCCCTGGCCAGTTTGGCTCAGCGGTTGAGCGTCAGCCTGTGGACCAGAGAGTCCTGGGTTCAGTTCCCGCTAGGGGCATGAACCACAAAAAAATAAATAAAAAATAAAATAAATAAAATAAAATAAAAAATAAAGTGAAGTTGAAGGAGTAAGATTCAGGGAAATGTTCACTTTAAAGTAAATAGTGTAGAGCAGCTAACCATTTAGTAAGCATGCTAGCAGGATGTAAGCACACGGCATTTTGCACTAGCACTTGAGTCTATCTCTCATAGTTAAATGCAACTAAATGTTATATAGTAACCAAAGCAAGTGATTAATGGTGGAGATACTTGATTTAATATTTATGTTTTCCTCATCTTCAGTTATGTAGCACTTATGCAGCAGTAAGAAGCAATGAACTAAATGAACATAAAGCACCATACTGACAGTTTTAACATATAATTTTGAGGACAAAAATGTAAGGAACAGGAAGAGGCTTATTGCACCACTGATGCAAATTTTTAACAGGTACAAACGTAATCAACACCAACTATTTTACATGGATATATGTATGTTTATCTGATATTTTGAACATAGTAGAGTGAAAACCTATTGGAAGAGTGGGAGGAAGTGGGAGTAGGGGTTGGGCATTAAACAAAAGAATAAAATAAGAGAGGGCTCCTGCTTGAAACAATGAACAGGTGCAATACACAGAGAGCATAGCATTCAACTTGCTGCCTTGAGCCCCCCAAAAAAAGAGGAAAGAAAAGAAAAGTTGTAAAACAAACAAACAAAAATCTCATCTAGGAACTTTTCTGTGGTGGATGATAGGTCATACATTTTTATGTTTTTTATAGTATGTCAGCTTTGGAATATAGGAAATTGCACGAACTGCAGAGTACTAAGTTTAAATTCTTTCCTCTACAACAGTTTTTTTGTTTGTTAGTTTCAGTATTTTTCTACGTAAAATTGAGAGAAGTTCATCTTAGTCGCTGAGCCGACATGGGTGCCAGACCCACAGCAAGCATTTCACAGGGGGTGGTTATCTTACGCTTTTGTAACACGTGCATAAATGCCCATCTGCTTATTTCTATTGTCCATCCAGAAAAAAGTTGGTTTAGAACAGATTTTTCTGAAATTCAGATCCTTGAATCCGATTTTATTATTAAGGTAATTGTATCTTTGTAGAAATGCCATTTAGTAACAAACTGATAAGTTCTTAAGCATTTTTAAGGTTACTGTGTGCTAAAAAGTTGGACCCCACAAAATAGATCCATTGCTTACCTATGAATCCAAGAACAGAAAACTCAACATAAAACCAATTATTTGAAGTGATACTACGTACAAAATCTGTGATTTTTGTAAAGTACATCTTTTTAGCTATGATATCATCTTCCAGCTGGGAAGAAAACAAACAAAGCGGCATTAGTACTTCGATGCTGTCCTTGAATAAGTTATATTAGCTTACAAATGGAAAATTCTTTCAATAGACTACACTGGACATGTTTTTATGAGTTAATAATTTTATTTTTAGTTCAGCTCACTGAGGGTATTTACTGTGAGTCCATTTTCATTTTCTGATTCTAAGACCAGGGATTCTTTCTTTCTTTCCTAAATGCTAACATAGAACATTCACTCTAAATCCTCTTTGGAGGAGTTCATTTATTGAATCCGTGTTCATCCTCACAAACACGTCGGTTTCCGGTTTACTACTGACCAGCTTCGTGCTGAGTTGACATATGGGCGCCGTGTCCTAGTGCCAGCTGACGGGGCGGCAGAGACGGCGGCGAGAAGCGCACGCTCATCCACGACCACTGCGTGCGATGATGGTGCCAGAGGGCCCCAAACAGCTCTCCCCTGGGGACTGGGTTCTTCTTCTGAGGTTCAATACATATGATGCATAATCTACAGGCTCAGAGGGTCTCCTGAATGATTTGGTAGAAGACTGTGCTCAGGCATGTGGCCAGAGCACAAAATAGAACGGTGTTGTTTCTAAGAGAACACGGGCTGGATGTCATACTTCAATTTTATTGTCACTAACTAGAAATCGAAAAGGATTTTTATTTTCTCTCAATATAAGAGAAGAGCTTGCTTCAGGCCTTTTTGTGATGCCCTGTGCTCTCCAAGGCCATGCTTCAAACTCCTGACACAGCTGCCGTGTGTCGGGTAGTGAGTGCGCACAAACTATCGGGAACTGTGACATTATTATTCAACCACGTGCAGGGGCCCGGGCACAACTACTTATAACTGATGTATTGCATAAATACAGTATAGGCACTGTACAACTATGTTACTCATAAAATTGGAGGCACTGTACACTGTCTGACATATAATAAGTGCTCAAATTTTGTTTATTTAATCAAATAAACTTGTGGGCAGAGAAATGTAGGCAGAACAATTTCTTTTTTTTTTTTTCCTAATTTGATAAAGTCTTTTCAGTTTGCTTCAGGTAACTATAATTTCTTTTGTTAATAGTGACCCCAGTAAGAAGACTAATATGCAATCAATTTTAAACTTCCTTTTGGTATTTTAATATAGTAAGTATTTTTTATTTTCTGAGTAGAAAGTAAGGTGGAGGAGTTCAACAAGGAAGACTGGAATAAAAGGAGAGAGGGAGAATGTAATACTTCCACTTTAAGTTATATTTATACCAGGGTCATACCTGTAAATAATACATGGCCTTGGGTTGGGCATACAACATCAAAAAACAAAAGTCCAATATTTGTTTGGTTTGCCATCTAAAGGTAAGTAATAAAATATATTAATATTAGTTATTTAACTTTTTCTTATAAGCACACTTCAGTAATACACTGTTAATATAGAGCGCTATCTACATTAAATAAAATAGATGTTATACTAAAAAGTTATACTCAAAAGTTTCCCATTTTTATTCAGTGGGCAGTGTCTACCATTGCTAAACTAGGATAAGCGTAATCTATTTTATATTTGGGTTTGTTAATTTTTGATCTCTATAATAAAGTTAATATTCCTTCTTAGGTCTTGTTCAAATGAAAGTATAAAGAAACTTTGTTCTAATGTAATATTAAGCTAGATACGAGGCCAGGTCCTGAAGGTACAAAGAGCAATGCACCATGCAGTTCTTGCCCTTCTGGGTCTTATAATCTAACCAGAAATATAGGAAAATAATACAATTAGAGCAACTATATAAGAGCTATGCGAGATACTGACCATGATGACGGAACTAAGATGGGGAGGGCGGGGCTTCTAGAAGGCTGTGGGGTGCTCAGCGTAGAGGAAAGTAATGCAAAGGCGCAGGATGTGTGAGAGAGCAGCCCTCCTCAATTCAGGGCACAGAGAGCTGATGATGGGAAGTCTGGCAGAGACCAGATCACGAAGAATCTTTAATATGCAACAAACTTTGGATTTGATCTGATATGAAAAGATTCTTCTGGCCCAGCCTGTGTGTCGCAGTGGACTGAGCATCATCCCATGGACTGAGAGGTCCCAATATGATTCCCAGGTAGGGCATATGCCTGGGTTGTGGGCTCAATCCCCAGTAGGGGGCATGTGGGAGGCAGCCAATCGATGTTTCTCTCTCACATCAATGTTTCTCTCTCCCTCCCCCTTCCTCTCTCTCTCAAAAGATCAACAATTTTTTTTTTTTTTTTTGGTATGTGCCCCTAGAGGAAAACAAACCCGGGACTCTCTGGTCTGCAGGCCGATGTTCCAACTGCTGAGCCAAACTGGCCAGGGCCAAAATCATATATATATATATATTTTTTGTCCTCACCCGAAGACTTTTTTTTTTTCCATTTTTTGTTCAGATAGAGTGGGAGGGAGAGAGAGAAGCATCGACATGAAAGGGACACACTGAGTGGCTGCCACCCGTATGACCAACCAGGGCTGGGGACAAACTGCAACCGAGGTACGTGCCCCTAGGAGGAACTGAACCTGGGTCTCTCTGGACCGCAGGCCAACACTCTAACCACTGAGCCAAACCAGGGCCCAAAATCATATTTTTAAAGAAAAGATTCTTCTGCCTACCATGAGGAAATGAATTGGAGGAAAGGCTAGGCAAGTGTAGGATTAGGGAAAGCAGATAGAACTGGAATGGCCTAAACTAAGTCCAAGGCAGAGAAATGGGGATGAGAAGGATGATGTGGAGAGAGATTAAAAGAGAGGAATTATAGAGACAAAAAGGGCAGAAGGAAAAACAAGGATCTAGAGTGACTCCCAGCATTATGACTCTAAAAACTGCACATGACGTGGGTCATTAATTAAAAAGCAAAACAAAACCCTTAAAAGATTATCAGATTCTGACATACTATTTATTATTATTATTATTATTATTATTATTTTTTTTTTTTATCCTCACCCGAGGACATTTTTCCATTTTTTGTTCAGGTTGAGTGGGAGGGAGAGAGAGGAACAGAGAGAGAGAGAAACATCGACGCGAAAGGAACACATCAAGTGGCTGCCACCCGCACAACCAACCAGGGCCGGGGACAAACTGCAACCGAGGTACGTGCCCTTAGCGGGAACCGAACCCGGGTCTCTCAGGACCGCAGGCCGACGCTCTAACCTCTGAGCCAAACCGGCCAGGGCCTATTTATTATTTTAAAATAAAACAGAGGTAATAAGTTTACCGGGATAAAAACCTCTTCCTGAATTCTGACATGTCTTTTGCTCTATTAAATTTTGAGGAACCAAATTATTACATTTCTTGTAATAGCTACCACATTTATAACCAAACAATAATAATCCTTCATATATATTTTTTAATTTTTTAAAAGTCTTGCATAAATCCTATCCCATTTTATTCTTACAATGACTTTTCCAAATATGTAATGTAGATTTTATTACACACACTAGAAAGTCGAGGAAGCTAGGAAAAATTACCTGCCTAGGATGATCAGTAACTAGAAAAACTGGGTCTAGAATCCAGGAATAGTGATTTATAATCCTGGGCTTTCCCTCCTTCATTATGCTTTTGCTAATTACTGTCTGTAAATGTGAACATGGATAATCAGTGGTGTGCTGGTGGTAAGTATTTAACAACTGTCTCTCTCTGTGGGAAAGGGGGTGAGCCTTGATTTGTAGCTTTTGCCCATTTCTGTGGTGTAAATGCTCCTGACATCCAACTGATGTCACTGAACAGAAAACTGGGAATTGATGCACATAGTTAGCTCTTGCAAGTCAATAGGAGCTGACTGTGTTTGAAATGGGATCTATTAGATACTATTTCCAACATTTCATCAAATAAAGTTAGTTATTGAAGGATACAATTTTCTACATGTCATACCTCTCCAATTTTTGTGAGTCCTCGGTTGACTGATTGGCACGGAGCATGTCTGGATAAAAAAATGCAGGTATTGAAATGACCTCTAAGGATCCAGACTTCACTTGCTTTTTGAATCTATAAATAGAAGTGCATGGAGGCTTGTAGTTGAACATTTGTTATACCAAAATAACATAAATACTTAAAAATAATTTCCTTATGCATGTCCACATATTTTGATTTGAATTATTTCACATGTCGATACATGATGTTAGTATCATAAAACTAATACTTTTTAGCCAAAGTACTTAATCTATAAATGAGAGACAGACATATCAAAAAATTAAAAAACATAAATCCAACGTTCCGGGATGTACTTATATTTCTAAAAATCTAGCATGCTCCCTTTTGGGCCTTTCTGCCTCCCCAGGGAATTCTCTTTGCCAGGCATTTCCTTCCTCCTTTTGTCTGCCTGAAGAATATCTGCTTACACCCTCAGACTTATCTCAGTTATTATCTTCTCAAGAAAGTCCTTCTTGATATCTTCAGGCAAAGTGAAATAATTCCTACTCTGTATGTTTTTATATTGCCTTCCCGACCACCATGATGACAGCAGCCTTTTGTAACTGGGTTTTGGCCAGTTTTATTGCCCACTGGAACAGAGATTTGGAAGGCTGGGTCCATCCCACAGTATCTTGCTTGACAAAGAGCTTCATGTTAGCTCATCAGTGTTTGCATCTCCTGGGCTGCTTACCAGCAGGAGATTATAAGCAGGAGCAGTAAAAGTAGCTTCGTACAGGAAAAAACACAAGAATGTTTTAAAGATGAGCTAGTGGGCTTCTCACAGAGACAATGGATTCCATGGGGAACAGATATTATAATAACAACATGAAAAATATGGACCTTACTAGGTAGATAACCTACGCAGTTGGGGAAAATTACAAGCTATACTTCATCCCAGCTTAGATAGAACTACAGGCTTTTTCTGCACAAATACACATTAAAATGAATACGATCACTAATAAAATAATTAGACAGAAAAATAGGATAGAAAAATGAAAGAACAGCCAGTTAAAAATTCATCCAACAGTACTTACTTTTGTGTAATCATGTCAACAACAGATTTCAAATAATCTTCATTACTCTAAAAATGAGAAAAATACTTTACTGAAACTAAGCATGCCTCATAGATTTATTAATACATGTTTGCTACATGTAAATCTAGTTTTTGTGTGGAATGTCACTATGTCCTAATCATCTCTCGTGTTTTCACTTTCTATAAAAGAATTAAAAATATCCGTGTGTTTAAAAGATCTGACTTAAATATGAAAATATTTCTTTCTCCCTTTGTCACAATATGAAATCTCACTACACGTTATTTACACTTAAAAATTAGTGGTATACAAATGCTATGCTTCTAAGACAGTTTTGCTCTAAAAACCGGATAGCTTATTTCAGAGAACTTCCGGTTCTGAAGATACCTTTTTTCATGAGTATTCCTTGACAATAAGCTTATTTCAAAGTTATTCCACATTTTTCCAGACAATAGTACTCAGCTTAACTCCCCAATTTTTTTTATCATCAACAATATACTCTTCGTTGAACACTGCGCAAATTAGATGTCTAACTCATTTGTAAATAGCTTTTGGTGGTTTATTCTCTCAGATGATAAATGGCATTTATAAGATATAGCCTCAGGGTCTACAAGCATTCCCACTACAAAATTCTGAAAATATTTTGAGTAATGACCATTCTAGTGTCAAGTCTGAGTTCTCTGAGAGGCAATTCTGAATGTGTATGGTTAGATTGTTTGTTAAAAATACCAGCCATGATGCTAATAACTCTATTCTAGAATTTAAGGTTCTTACAACAGCCCCACATTGAATCTCCAGCTATTTGTTACATGCGTAAACATATTCTACTTTAAACATAGTACTAAAGTTATACTTCTTAAGCATTCTATACTCCATTTAAAAATTTGTCCCCCTATATTTTATTACTGGCCTAAACATTTTTGGGAGACGTGCATTTTGTCAGTGGCAAACAAATAAAGATTATAACACATAACACAAAAAAAGTGACAAAATGTTTTGGAAATTAAGTATCTGCTCCCAATACTAAGAAATGCAATTTAGAGAGAAAGAATTGTTTAATCTTTTATTTATATTTTCCCATTAGTTCTTCTGTTGCTTGTTTCGTTGTTTGTGTCTACAAAGACACATTTATTATAGAAAATTCAAATAATAGAGAAAAGAATAAAGGACAACAAAGATCTCTAACTTCCAACATCCAGAGATAATCATTTTTATATTTTATATTTATGTGTAAATATAAACATATTTATATATAGTTTTTGTGTATTACTACTAATTTTTAAATGTAAACCATTATTTATGTCATTCCAAGGTTTGCTCATTCTTTATTTCTTCATACATTTCATCGATCTGTATTATCTTCCTTCTTTCTATCACATTATGCACAGATAATATGTTAAACAGAATGACTTACAACTTTTTTTACTCGATAATATGATTTGGACATCGTTTCATTCAGTGAATATGATATTCATTCTTTCAGTGGTTACAGATCACTGCAGTGTAGACATGAATATTCAATCAGTCTCTTATTGATAGATATTTTTACTTCCAGTATTATGGTTTCATAGCACCAAAAATCCTTGAAATAATTACCTACGGAACACTCGCTATGTGCCACACATCATGCTAAATGTTTTAAATAGATTAGCTAATTTAATTGCCAAAGCAACCCTCTGACTAAGGTAACATTATCATCATTACTTTACAGATAAGAAGAGCAGAGCACAGAGAAGTAACTGGTTCCCGTTCACCAGCCAGGAGCGGGGAAGCTGCCACCTGACCTTTGGCCATCTAGATCTAGGGTCCGCGTTTTCAACTGTTGTGCTAGGCTCTCACATTCTTATCATTTTGAAATTCTTGCCTGGTTATCTCCTTAGGCTAGGATAACGTCCCAGAATTGAGATTTCTGAGACAACGGATGTACACATTTTAAATCTGATTCGTTGTCAAAGTCCCCTCCCAAAAGCCTTGTAGCGTTAGCATTTATACAGTGCTTTATTGCTTACATAGCACACAAGACAGAAAACTTTGGGGCCACTGGAGAGATGAATCTGCTCCATTAACTACTAGGAAAATTACTTTCTTAAATCCGTTCTTTCATCTGTAAAATCAGGATAGTACTACTTCCTTTATAGGGATGTAATGCAGGTTATAAATAACGAATATAAAAATTGTCCTCAATCTTTCAGATATAGAATGGAGTCCCTCAATTAGTGGTTGTTATTATTTAATATAAATTGTCTCTTGATTCCTATACCAACCTTTTACTGGACAGGTTTTATTACTATAGCATCAATGTTAATGTTCTGTTTGTAGATATAATTTCTGTACCACATAGTATGCAGGGCTCCTAGACACATATTTAATAACGCAATTTTATTTCTCCACATGGAGAAACATGATATTTAAATAAACTTTTTAGACTGACACATTCAATTCCTTCTCGGTGGTGTCAAAAAAGCATTAAATACATTGCCTGCTATCCAAAAAAAGGCATATGTGAATTACTTTTTTAAATTTAAGAAAAAAATTAGAAATGACGCAGTGATTAGCACGGAGACCGGGCTGGGAGGAAGGAGGGTTAGTCGTCCTTCGTACGTACATCTGCAATAGAGACGATCACCACAGAGTCCTTCTCCTCCGAAGGGGTCATCCTGGTGATGAGCGAGGTCAGCGTCTGCTTCAGGTAACTGTGAGTCTGTCTCTTCACGGTGGAGATGCCCAGCGCAAAAGACACTGCAGACACCCGAGCGTGGAATCGCCGTTTCAAACCATGGGGGGAAATACAACTTAGCATTAATATCCATGCTGCCTTCTATGTTTGGGTTAGTCATGTGGCCATAAAAACAGTGTTTGAAACTGTATTGCAGAAGTAATCCAAACACTGTTAGTTTTTATCACATATTTCATTTTCCGCTTGAGGAAATTCCAGTTTGCAGTGAGCGGTTAGGAAATGCATTACATAAATGCCAGGAAGTTCTCATGGTGGACAATTTCAGGGCAGTGGAAGAGAAAACTAACCACTCTCCATTTACTACAGCATCCTCGAATTAGGTACAAAACACACTGGCTGATTCTCTAGTCTTCTTCCTAAGGAGACACTAGGACCCAACATAGAAAAAAATACAATGAAATAATTTCATCTGTGAAAAAAATGCATGAACTAATTTCCAAGTAATTTGATGGAATAAATCCATGTCCCTAAGTGACTTTTTTGCCCAATAATGACTGAAGCACTGGGAGAAAAGGCCCATGTCACACCAGAGACCAAAATTCTATGCCCAAAGTAGCCACAGACAGCAAGTAAACTGTGAACATGGCTACAGTCCAACAAAACTGCATATAAACTGGCAGGTTCAGCCTGTCCTGGGTTGTAGTTTGCTGACTCCTGGCCCAGAGGGACTGGCTCGTTGGAATGAATGGAATTTGTGAGGAAGGCAAGTGAGAGTTGGCCTAGCAGCCCTCCTCTAACTCAAATGCTTTTTCTCCTTCTATACTTGGCAAGCTTGAACTCCTTCTTCAAGGCTTAGCTCAAACATCACTTCCATAAAGCTTTTATAGACCTTGGTCCCCAAACAGATGGGGAAATAAGAAAATAACCACAGGAGGATAGATTTATCCAAACCAAGGCAGAAAAAGAGTTACCAAGTACTGAGCTGATGCTTAACATATGTTTGACTTATACTGACTTATTTTCAAAGCATCTGTATTAAAATTGAATTCGAATTCAAGTCTCCAAATATTTATTAAACTATTTTTTCTCCCAGCCAATATATTGATTTCTGGTGATCCAAATTAGTGCCAGATTGGCTGGTGGTCTAAACATCACACTGAGTATCATTTTAATGGATTACATTTTAAAACTTAAAAGCATGTCCCCAAAGATCAAAATAGCTGTATTTGATTCTCCAATTCTAATTTTCTTACCGTCTGCTTTCTCTTTGCCGATGATCACATCAGGATAAATTCTGCCTACTTTCCTTAGATGAGGGAAAAAGAACTTTAAGTCTTCAAATGTATTAGATACTATTTCATTCTTATCCAATGTATTCACATTCTTCCCAACTGAAAGAGAGAAAAAATAGGGCTTCTGAATTTATGACTATAGGGATCTTTGTCACTCTGGTATAATTTTTTTAAAAAAGAGGTTAATAAATTAATTCACAGATTTATTTAGTATTCATATGTAAGAGAAATACTATTAAATGTAAATTATCAAAATCATAGGGCTACAAAATATAACTCGAAAATTGATTCATACTTATTTAAAAAGAAATATAGTGGGGAGGGGTAGGATGGGGAGGAGGAGGTTTATGGGGAGAAAAGGAGAAACATTTGTAATGAAAATAAATTAATAAAAGTTGGAGAAAAAATAAAATGAAGTAAAAATAAAAAGTAATACAGCAGGTCCTCCAATAACATCTTGTTGTTCAACATCCATCTGTTAACGTTTTTGAGATGCCGTAGGAACTTAACTCTTGTTTATATCAATTAGCATATGGTAAAACTGATTTTCTTAGATATCATCTACCTTAAAGTCCCAGAACCTCAAGATGATGATAAGTGAGGGCCTCCTGTATTTAGTTTAAATCTAGCACTATGAGCCACACAACCAGAGGCTAAGAGAACTGTCAGTCCCAAATGAGGGAAGTGTAACTGAAACACACTATAAAGAAGTGTAACTGAGCCCTGGCCGGTTTGGCTCAGCAGTTGGAGCTTTGGCCCGTGGACCAGAGAGTCCCAGGTTCAGTTCCCGCTAAGGGCACGTACTATGGTTGCAGTTCGTCCCTGGCCCTGTTGGGGTCGTGTGGGTGGCAACCAGTCGATGTGTCTCTTTCACATCCATGTTTCTCTCTCTCTTCCTCCCTCTCTCCTTCCCACTCTATCTGAAGTTAAACGCAGAAATGTCCTAGAGGGAGGATAAAAAAAAAGAAGTGTAACTAAAAATATTTCCAAACCACATATCCATATGTTTTACTATTCTGATTAATATCACATCATAAAAGTTTATATCCACATAATTTTGTTTTGTAGCCCCCTCAATATTTAATGACTCCATTCATACCATTCATTTGAATTTGCCTCTAAAATTTTGAAAAAGAAGAACAAAGTTGGAGGACTCACACTACCTAATTTTAATTCATAATATATAATATGTTAATCAAGGCAGTGTGATACTACAGAAAAAAAAATAGATACATAGATTAATGGGACAGAATAGAGAATCTAGAATTAGATCCTCACAAAAACAGTAGATTAGTTTTTCTTTTTAAAGGTGCAAAACAATTCCATGCAGAAAGAACAGCCTTTCTTGACAAATGATGTTAGAACACTTGGACATCCACAGGAAGAAAAGACTGAACCTTAACCTATACTTCATACCATTTATAAAAATCAACTATAAGGTTTTATAGACCTCAAATGTAAAACCTAAAACTATAAAATAAAAAATCACACATAAAAGAAAATTCTCTTGACTCTTAAAGAGTTCTTAAATACAACATCAAATGCAAAATACATTAAAAATGGATAAGTTGGATTTCATCAAAGTTAAAAATGTTTGCTTTCTGAAGGCCACCATTAGGAGAAGACAAGGCACAGACTGGGAGAAACTATCTCTAAATCACATATCCATCTGATATGTATCCAGGATATATAAAAATCTCTCAGCCCTGGCCGGTTGCTCAGTGGTTAGAGCATTCGCTCATGGACCAGAGAGTCCCGGGTTTGGTTCCCGCTAAGGGCATGTACCTCAGTTGCAGTTTGTCCCTTGCCCCCGTAGGGGTCATGCGGGTGGCAACCAGTTGATGTCTCTCTCTCACATTGATGTTTCTCTCTCTTCCCCCCTCTCTCCCTCCCGCTCTACCTGAAAATAAAAATGCAAAAGTGTCCTCGGGTGAGGATAACAACAAAAAAATAATAAATAAGTAAATAAATCTCTCAAAACTCAACAACAAAAATACAAACCACCCAATTAAAAAAATGTGCAAATAATTTGATCATTTTACAAAGAAGACATATGGATGGAAAATAAGCACATAAAAATGTTCAACACCATCACACTAGAGAAATGTACCTTAAAACTGTGGGACACTGTGACATTAGAATGGCCATAATAAATGGGAGGGACTGGGACTCTCATACAATTGCTGCAGGGAATGCAAAATGGGTACAGCCACTCTGGAAAACAGTATGACAGTTTCTTACATAGTTAAACAGATACTTACTATATGCCCATTAAGTCTAGATATTTACCCCAAACAAATAAAAATTCAAACAAAAAACCTGTACACAAGTGCTTATAGCAATAGATATTTATAATCACCCCAAAATACTGACACCAACCCAAATGTCCCTCAGCTGGTGAAACAAACTATCCATTGTACAGCCATATAGTGGAATGCTACTCAGCAATAAAAAAGCAGCAAACAGCCCTGGTTTGGCTCAGCGGTTAGAGTGTCGGTCCCCTGATCAAAGACTCTCGGGCTGGATTCCGGTCAAGGTTAGGATTGTGTGGGAGGCAACCAATCAACGCCTCTCTCTCTCTCTCTCCCTCCCACTCTATCTGAAGATAAATGAAAAAATATCCTTTGGTGAGGATTTTTTTTAAAGTGGCAAACAACTGGTCACACAACAGCTTGGATGAATCTATACTAAGTGAAAGAAGCCGGTTTCAAAGGCTTATACACTATGTGATTCCACTTGTGTGGCCTTCGGGAAAATGAAAAGCTGTAGGAACAGAGATTTGATCAGTGGTTTCTAAGCATTAAGTGGGGGGGGGGGTGATACAAAGGGGGACGCACACAGTGGGACTTTCATCCTGAAGAAAAAGGGATCCACTGAAGGTTGATATACAAGACAGTGCAGCCTTCACTTTGGTCACAGTGAGGGTAGGTGGGTGGGTACAAGACTGGAGAGAAAGAACAAAAACAGGAGCATGTTAGTCATTTAGATGAACAGTGAAGGTGGTCTGACTGTGTAGTAGAGATGGTGATGGAAAAATATGAACAGATTTGTGATATATAGGATTATGAATCAATGGGGTTGCTCACTGACTGACATGGAAGTAAGAATGCTAGAGGGAGAGGGAGAAGTCAGAGATGATGCTCAGGTTTCTGGCTGCATCTGTTGGATACATCATGGATAGTGGTGTAATTCACGGAGATCGAAAACACAGGAAGACCATCTTTCAGACAGAGATGACTGGCAGTGTGTCAGTGATGTCTCTCACCTGATTTTTCCATGTCTGACAATAAAAGAATGAATACTGATGTAACTATATTTGCTGGGGAGAAATGTCCTAAAATCAGATAGCATAAAATCTAAATTTCCAAACACAAAACATAAGACAGACAAACCACCATGCACAAAAACAAAAGCAACACAAACCTAAGTTTATGGATACATGTTTTCTCCGTCTAATGTCATAATTTAGTTTACTCAAGACTTCCGTCAGCTCTTGGCTATTTCTTTCCGTTTTGTTTTTTAAGCGTAGAAAACTTTCCTTAAACTCCAAAATATGGTTTCTACAATTAATTAATTGATTACCTGCAAAGAAACATATATGTACATGTTTATATATGTAGCAATGGTATAATACAATTTTCATAATATGTATCAAAAACATAAAATATATACTTTAATATAGCTATATATCAAGCATTAAATGTGTGTATATGTGTATATATATTTTGATATCTATATATTATGATATATACATGAGAGACTGGAAAAAAGAATGAAATGTTAAACATAGTAATGTCTGAAAGGTGCATGTATAAGATTTGTAATTAGAAGAAAAACCCAACTGAGCAGGGAAATTCACTTCTAAGAATTTATTTAAAGAAAACAACCAGAAATATGTACGGATTTGGTTCTAAGGATGTTCAACACAGACAGCATTATTTATCATAGTAACATCAGAAACAACCTAAGTTCTTACAATGGAAATATGCTAAATAAACTACAGAAGATCCTTTTAACAATTCTGGTGGCTCTGGCATTAAATCACATACAGTGATACCTCGGTTCTCGAACGCCTCGGATTTCGACCAAATCGGTATTCGACCAGGAGATTCGAGAAACTTTTGTCTTGGAATCCGAACAAATATTTGGAACTTGAACTTCCGAGATGAGCGGAGTTGAGCCGAATGGCGTTCATTCGGCCCAGCGCGCCTTGCTCGCGTCATCAGTGTGAGTGCAGAGAGAGTCACGCTTTGTGGAGAGAGTCACGCTTTACACTGAATTGAACCCTTAGACATACTGTACACTTTTATTTCTTGTTGAGACTTATGTTTTTCTACATATTATATACAAATTAGGCCAGTAAATAGGCATTTTCTGGGGCTTGGAATGAATTAATCCAGTTTCCATTATTTCCTATTGGGTTTCATTGCTTCGGTTCTCGAACAATTTGGTTCTCGACCGTCCTCCTGGAACGAATTATGTTTGAGAACCCAGGTATCACTGTACAACTGAATCTGTTTTGCCACTTAATATTTGTGCAGCCTGGGCAAGCCATTTAATTTTTGTTAGCCTCTGTTCCTTCAAGTGTAAATGGATATATAAGAATCCATGCCTCAGCTGTTATAAAGATATAACTTGATGTTGCATGCAAACCATGTGGCAAAGCACATTAAAAATACTTAAAAAAAATGTCTGATAAATATTGTTTATTAATGGGCTATTCTTTATTCATTTATCAGTGGAATACTATGCAGCTATGAAAATATATTTAATGTCATAAAAGCAATTGTGATGCTTATGAAGCTTCCAAATACAAAGCAAACATTTGGCTATATGACTTTGAAGTTTAAGGGAGACATGAGAGCTGGTATTATAGATATGAGAACAAAAGTTTTGAGATGCACTTATAAAATGGAGCAAGACAATGTAGTGTTAGACTACTGCCACAGTCTTACCTACGGATGTTTACTTCATCCCTGCCTTAGCTCACAGCCTTAGCCTTGGGCAAAGGTTCAGCCTTTGAAATCCAGCAGGGGGCATTATCGAATGAATGGACTTGCTAGCATAGGAACTGATTTAAGAGTTTCTAAAACAGAACCATTCTTCATCAAAAGAACTGCAACTACCCCAGATAAATCTTAAATATCCATATAGTGGATACTACCTGGGGATGTTCACAAGTTGAAATGGGGATGTAGTTTAACCACTATAACCCTATGATTCCCCAGGTAATATTCTCTTTGCAAAATGGATCATGTGTGTAGAATTGATATATGACAGGTGATGCAACATTTCTGGGCCAATGTAAGTCATTCCCTGAGGGAGCAATTTGGTAAACATGAAAAGAAAGTGTTTTCTCTAGAGGAAGTAGTATTTGCAGAAACAAACATTCAGAAATGTTCAAGGACATAATCTCTAGTCTTAGATCTGCTTCTTGTACATTCTTACCTGATAATTCAACTCATCAATATGCTACTTAAAATATTTATATTACTTGCATATTCACTCAGGTATTTGTGAGGATGAAATGTTATAAAACCATCTTACAAAGTTTGAAATATAAATGAAAATTTGATGTTTTGAGTCAATTGTGGTGAAATTGTGAGAACAAACACCAGTCCATGTGTGCAGTGGGCCAATGGGACTTCCATCCACAAACAAAGTGAGGTCCTGAGAACCACTGGCATAAATACTTCTCATAGCAAAGGGCCAGCAGAAATAAAATGCAAGCCACATTTGTAAGTTTAAATTTCCTACTAGCCACATTAAAAAGGGTAAAAAGAAACAAGTGGAACTAATTATCAATAATATATTTAACTTAGTCCAATATATCTAAAATATTTTTTGATATGTAATTAAGAGGTCTGAGCAGGCAGGAGATCATATTCACAACGCAAGGCCAATGTAGAGCAAAATGATTTTATTGCATGCGCCTGGATGCAGGCGGGCTGAGTCGAAAAGGGGTCAGCCTCAAATCACAGTTGGGGTGTAGGTTATATACTCTACTTCTAGCTTCCAGCAGCAGTTCCTGCTGACGTACTCTGCCTGGTCCATTGTCCACTTTGCAGTTGGACTGGTCTGGTATCTCATCCTGCATCTGCTGGGTGATTCATTGTCTTGCAGATAATCCAGATAATCCAACTGAACAGAAGGCTGAGCAAAGGTCATGCAAGCAACACATTTTTCAGTTTCCGTCTTTCCCAAGCTTTTATCTTTACCCTTTAAAATGTTACTAACCCTTTCAGTAATCAACATAAAAAGTAATTAATGAAATAGTTTACATTCTTTCTTTTTCTGTACTAAATATTTCAAATCATGTAGTTTACACTTACAGTACATCTTAGTTCAGATGCTAAATGAATAGTTATAGTAAAATGTAGTCCTAGCCAAACAAAGCACTTTGCTTAATGGAAAAATATTTTATGCTGCTTTCATTTTTAAATGTAAATTAGATTAGCTTAAAATAGACTTAGATTAAAATTCAGATCCTCGGTTGCACACACTACATTTCAAGTGCTCCGTGACGGCCTGAGGAGGAGCTACCTGACGGGCCAGCACAGGCCTAGGACTCCAGCCATGAGCCTGTTCCAAATGCAGTGTCTCAGGCCTCACCCCAGACCTCCTGAGTCAGGATCTGCATTTAATGAGACTCACAGGAGATTGGGATGGGCGTTAAAATTGGAGAAGTACTGTTAATAGACCTTTAATAGTATCATCCTTGTCACCATTAACTTTACTATAGAGTTCAGGTCTTTATTGCCTCTCGTTGCACTATTATTATAATTGCCTCTTAATTGGTCTCTCACTTCCAATCCACAATAAATCTTCTGGAAACTCTACACAAAGACTTTGAAAAGTTCCCTAAATGCTGGCTGAATAAAGTCCAAATGACTTGCCTTGGTATACAGCCTTATACAACCTGGCCATGGCCTGACTTTTCCACCTCACTTTAGTACTCGGATTGATTTCCTCACTACTTTAGAGCTGGTTCTACAGAAACACACACACAGAAAATGAAAAACCTGTTCTATCTTCTCTTTTAAGAGTAATGCATTCATGGCCCTGGCCAGGTGGGTCAGTTGGTTGGAAGGTCGTCCTATATACCAAAAGGTTGAGGGTTTGATTTCTGGTCAGGGCACATACCTAGATTTCAAGTTCAATCCCCGTTTGGGGCACATATGAGAGGCAACCGTCGATGTTTCTACATCCCTGTTTCTCTCTCTCTCTCTCCCTCCCTTCCTCCCCCCCTTCCTCTCTCTAAAATTAATAAACATATCCTCAGGTGAGGATTTAAAAAAAAAGTAGTGCATTCACAAGAACAATATCTCATTTTCTGAACTTGAACATATGAATGATGGGAATAGAAATGTTTCGAAGAACCAAACTTGTTTTTCCTGGTCATGACTAGAAAACACACCAAAATGGTTGTATATATCTCAAAAATGTCTACAGTTTCATTATAAGAATGTTAACTGTATTAAAATATCGTATGAAGTTGCCAAACTAAATTGTCTTCCAAAATTACTATAAAAAGAAGTTTACATTTTGCTTTCTAATTATGAATAATGGCTTACTTTTTGTTATAAAAGTGCTTATTGTTTATTGTTCCAAAATAAATAAAAGACACATTTGCATAATGGTCTTTTTTTTTTTTTATCATCCTCACTCGAGGACATTCTTTCATTCCTTGTTCAGGTAGAGTGGGAGGGAGAGAGAGGAAGAGAGAGAGAGAGAAACATCAACGCGAAAGGGACACATCGAGTGGTTGCCACCTGCACAAGGGCCGGGGACAAACTGCAACCGAGGTACATGCCCTTAGCGGGAACCGAACCCAGGTCTCTCCGGACCGCAGGCCGACGCTCTAACCACTGAGCCAAACCAGCCAGGGCTGCATAATGGTCTTTATAGAAAATGAAGAAGAGAGAGAGTTTATAAAATGATTAAAAATTAGTAGTATAAATCAAATTAATATACATTTTAAATCTTTAAAACAAATGGGGTACACTTTTGTCAAGTACACACAACGTTGGTATTGTTTGTACATGACAAAATTTAGTATTAATTAGGGGACTAAAACATAAATTTAACATTAGAAGATATAAACATTAATTAGAGGACTAAAGTCACTTCCAAACTTTATCCTTGACTCTACTACCAAGATTACTTTGTGTGCACCCTGAGTCATAAATTAGTTTAAGAAAAAGAATGAAAATTTAACCTAAAACAACCTAAGGACAGTCTTGGAAGCCTGGGTTAATATATTTGCAGAATCCCTGTCTTCAATTCAAAATTAAACTGTATGAATGCTAGCATGTTACACGATGGACTAGAGTTGAAAGATAAAATACAAGAAACCAAAGTTAAATTTGAATTACAGATGAAGTTTTTTAGTATCAATACATCCCATTCAATTTTTATACTAAAAACTTATTCATTGTTTATCTGAAATTCAGATTGAACTGGGCAACCTCTATTTTTATTTGCTAAACTGGCAACCTATAGACAACAATAAATTAAAACCTTGGTGTGTTTCAAGGTGGCAATGCAAGCCGCAAGATCCATTTGAAAAGGTTCAGATGCAAACCAGTGCTTTAACTTGTCAGCGATGTGTCTCTGCGTCATCGCACCCCTTTTCAGCTCCCGGGAAAGCACTTCGGGGAGCCTTGCAATGATTCAGCAGCATCGAACCCAAGCAGGAGAGATGTGGGCTGTGAGAGTTCTCGGAGTCAGACACTCACGCGTCTGGAAATCGCGGGGCGGAGGGTGGGGGGTAGCCGGGCACAGATCGGGCCCTTGAACCTGTGTAGGGAAGACTCACGCCGAGGCCGGAGGGAAAGCCCGGAGGCCCGCAGGCCAATGCGTTGGCGCGCGTGCCAGCTGCGGGCAAGGCGGCTGGGAGAGACCTGGACACCGTTACAGCTCAACCGCCAGCGGGGCAAGGGCGTGGTGGGGGGTGGGGGGCTACATCTGTAAAGCCCCTAATACAAGAGCAGGCGGCCCCACCGGGTTCCTATGCCACCTCACCCCCCTTCTCTCCGACCGGGAGCCCCGGCAATCCCAGAGCCCAGAGCCCAGGACGCGGGAAAGGTGGCGGGAGAAGCCACCGGCTGCTTACGGGTTTGAGTCATCCTGGAGATGCAGAAACAGAAGAAGCTGAAGAGCATGACCACGAGGAGCGAGGTCAGCCAGTTCACCAGCTTGGCCCTCATGGAGCAGGCCGGGTGGGGCAGCGGGCAGCAAGCAGCACGGTGGGCGGAGGCCAGCAGCACCCACAGCCCAGGAGAGAGAAGCACGCACGCGCCTGTGCCCCCACGCGCGCCCCTGCGCACCCGCCCCTGAGAGCTCCCTTCCCTAAGAGAACTTCTGCACCCTTCACCTCCTGTGTATGGCTCGGCACCTCCAGCCGCAGCTTGGCAGGGCTTCTGGTAGTTGAACGCCACAGTCCGTGTGAAGCTCCCCACTGCCCACACGTGGTGAGGGCTCAGAGACTTATTTTCCTGCAGCTGTGTGACTTTTGTGCCACACTCTGGGCTAAACTGTTTCCATGTATTATCTCTCTCTTCTTTTTTATCCTCACCTGAGGACATTTTCCCATTTTTTGTTCAGATAGAGTGGGAGGGAGAGAGAGGAAGAGAGAGAGAGAGAAACATAGACGTGAAAGGGACACATTGAGTGGCTGCCTCCCGCAGGGCCAACCAGAGCTGGGGACAAACTGCAACCGAGGTACGTGCCCTTAGCGGGAACCCAGGTCTCTCTGGACCCCAGGCCACGCTCTAACCGCTGAGCCTAACCGACCAGGGCCATGCATTATCTCTTTAAGTCCTCACAACATTCCAGTGTTTCAAAGTATGAAATGGAGATAACGATAGCATCTACTAAAACGGTATTCTTATCTTCATCTTACCTTGAAAAAAATTGAGCCATGGTGAACTCGAGCAATTTGCCTCAGGTTCCACAGCTGGAAATGGTGCCTCAAATCCCAGATGTAGATTTAAAAAAATTCCTAAAGAAAGTATTATTCTTTACTTGGAGAGTATCAGCCTTAGATTTTTCTGTGGGAAGTGATCAACCCCAGACCTTCGGTTTAATCCCCTTACCTTCATCCTTTTATTTGTTAGTACGCCCTCCCCCAAGAAAGGAGCAGGGAGCCAACTTTTGTGAAAGAAAAAGTCATATGTACAATGACCGATGAGCAGGAGCTCTAGGGAGATTTGCTGAGCTTTGCCAAGTTCAAGGTGTCAGTTCCCCAGACCTTCAGCCAAGGCTGGGAAACAGGAGGTGAACTTCAGAAGGCTGAGACTCTCTCTAGCCTCCTTCAACGTGGTTTTCTACGTGGGTTTTCCACTCTGATCATTCAGCTCTTAAGTGGGTCTCACCGGCAGTGCCCGGTAATACTTCAAACCAGCATTGCACCAACTGGGCTGGTGTCTGGCCCTTTTAGAGGGAGAAAGATCTGAACACATGCCAGCCTGACGATGCCATGATTAGCTATTTTCTCATGAGCTAATGACCAGGAGGTGTGGCCTTCAGTTAAACAGTGATCCAGCCAGCTCCCCAACGTTGTCCTCCTTCATTCTGTTAGTCTCTTGCCAGTCTTCACGGTGGCTAAGCTCTACGGGAAGCCAGACGCACGGAAGTCCAGCCTGATGTACTGCAGCATGCAGACCGGCCTCCTGGCTACGGAGCAGAGGAGAGGAAGATGTAGGCGAGACCGAGGTGGGAGAAGGAAGTTATTCAGCACAGATAGCTCCAGAATCAATACGTCATTGTTCTCTTACTTGAACTCCAGTTTCACATTTTCAGCTGCCTTTGAGATTCAAAAAAAGCACTTTGGTCTCACACCTTAATGTTCCTGAAATCTGCGTGTGTCCTCCAATTGATTATTACATTTTATAAATTATATCTTCTTGTCTTTTTTCCAAAGAAAGGAAAAACCAAAACCTGCTAGTCAGTCAATGGTTTGTCTATGAATCAGAACACAGGATATTTATTGAGCACCTTCTCTGTGCCTGTCACTGAATAGGTGCTGGAGATACAAATACTCGGCTGTTGGTTCTTGGCTCCACCTTTTTCTTCATGCTCAGACACGAACCGCATCTCCCACACACTCATATGCCTACCTATCAAAGGCATCCAAGATTCAGCTGAAATGCCACTTCCTCCATGAAGCCTTCATTGATCACCATTCATAAAGGAATCTATCTTCTTTGAACTCTTGTAACACTCAGATCCTCTCTCAGGGCACTCAATATGCATCATATTTAATTGATATGTATATATTTTATTTCCTCTGCCATGTTTTATACCCCTAGAAGAGAAAGATGATGTCTTATACACATTTTTTTTTTTTCCAAATCTTTATTGTTGGATGTAAAATGTATTACAGATGTTCCACATTTTTCCCCCATTGACCCCCTCCTCCCCACTCCCGCCCCCCTCCCACCTTTTCCCACATTATTGTCTGTGTCCATTGGTTATGTATATAAGTTCTTTGGTTTATTTCTTCCCTCCCTCCCGACCCCTTTCCCTTTGAGGTTTGTCAGTCTAGCAATGAATTTGTGCTTCTTAATCCCTTCACCTTTTCCACCCCTTCCCCCAATCCCCTTCCCAACTGGCAACCAACAAAATGTTCTCTGTATCTATGAGAATGTTTCTGTTCTTCCTGTTCATTTTGTTTGTAGATTCCATTGTTGATAGATATGCATTCATTGCCATTTTGTTTGTTCATACATTTTATCTTTTTCTTCAAAAAGACCCTTCATCATTTCATATAATAACGGTTTGGTGGTGATGAACTCCTTTAACTTTTTCTTGTCTGGGAAAGTTTTTGTATGTCCATCGATTCTAAATGACAGCTTTGCAGGATAGAGTAATTTTGGTTGTAGGTTCTTGGTTTTCATCACTCTAAATATTTCTTGCCACTCCCTTCTGGCCTGCAAAGTTTCTTTTGAGAAATCAGCTGACAGCCTAATGGGTACTCCCTTGTAGGTAACTAGCTGCCTTTCTCTTGCTGCTTTTAATATTCTCTCTTTGTCTTGAACCTTTTGCATTTTGATGATGATGTGTCTTGGTGTGTGCCTCTTGGGGTTCATCTTGTTTGGGACTCTCTGTGCTTCCTGGACTTGTATGTCTGTTTCCTTCACCAAGTTAGGAAAGTTTTCTGCCATTATTGTTTCAAACAGGTTTTCGATTTCTTGTTCTCTCTCTTCTCCTTCGGGCACCCCCAAGATGCGAATGTTGGCACGCTTGAAGTTATCCCAGAGGCTCCTTACTCTATCCTCAATTTTTTGGATTCTTTTTTCTTTTTGCTCTTCTGATTGGGGATTTTTTGCTTCCTTATATTCCAAATCGATGGTTTGCTCCTTGGATCTACATACTCTATTATTGAAGCGGTGTAAATTATTCTTTATTTCAGTTAATGCCTCCTTTAATTCTAACTGTGTATCCATGATTTCTAACTGGTACTTTTTTATGCTCTTGATGCCCTCCCTAAGTTCACTGAGGTTCTCACTAAGTTCATTGAGCATCCTTATAAGCAGTATTTTGAACTCAGTATCTGTTAGGTTGCTTATCTCCCTTTCGCTTAGTTCTTTTATTGGGGTTTTGTTCTGTTCTTTCATTTGGGACCTGTTTCTTTGTATCCTCATTTTGGCTGCCTCCCTGTGTTTGTTTCTGTGTATTACTTAATGAGAGGTATGGGGCTCGCTGAGACCCGGTGCTGCTCGTTTGAAAGAATTTAGGAAAAACCTGAAGCAGGATCCAAGACTGGCCAATCCTATGGTTAAGCAAGTGGCAACAGCTTGAAAGTTGTGTGGGGCGGGGCGGGGCGGGGCCTCAGGGAGCCAGCAGGGCGGGGCTACCAGTGTGAGCCAGGTTGCTGGAGTCCCAGATATGGCTTCTGTCTGCCGCCCCCGGGAAGGGCTCACCAAAGGAACAAAGGCCTCTGACAACACGTTTGTCCCGGAGGAAGGCCCCTCTCCAGCCCTCGCTCCAGTGCCAAACAGCTCAGTTCTTCCCTGTGTGTCTCTGGTGCCCCTCGAGCTGCCTCCCCTCCGAGCTTAGAGGGAGAGAGTCCGATAAGTCCGTGCGCCGGCCCTTTAGGGAGCTGCCTGGGGTTCCAGCCACTTCAGCTTCCCTGAGCCTCAGTTTCCGCTGGTTTTTCCAGCCAGAAGTTATGGGGACTTTTCTTCCTGGCACTGGAACCCTGAACGGGGCACCTGGTGTGGGACGGGGACCCCTCAGTCCTCAGGAAGGACCTTCCCAGCCGCGGGATCCTCCTGATTTTTATCCACCACACTTGGGTGTGGGACCAGCCCGTCTCGCCGCTGAGCGCTCTGCCGCCTCTGCGCCGCCGCCGCCCCCCCTCGCGCCGCCGCCCGTCCTACCAGTCTGGATGTAGCTGCTTTTTTTTTTCCCCTTAGTTCCGTAGTTGTACGACTTCCATTCAGCTTGATTTCAGGCGGTTTTGAATGATGGTTGTTCTTTAGTTTAGTTGTAACTTTGATGTGGTTGTGGGAGGACGCGATACCGGGTTTACCTAGGCCACCATCTTGACCGGAAGTCTCCTTATACACATTTTTGAATCATATTCCCCACTGCGTATTTCAGAGAGTGTTTCGGATCACAGGTACTGATTGAAACGCAAGCCTGTGATACAAATGAGCTATAGTCACAACTAACCACCTGCAGTCACTACCCAGTACCACTGAAGCCAATAATGAATATCACTCCAGGAAATCCAGCAGGTCGAGAACAGGAGCATCTCAAAGACCTTCAGAATTCCCTTTTGTGGTTTGCTTTCTAGTGTCACATTCAGACCACGGGAATAAGAGAACTACCAGGTTAAAGACAAATATTTGCTCAAATAATAGGAAGGGGAAGAGTAACCTCTGGGGAGATTACCAGCATCATAGCCCTTAAGTTAACCAGAGTCTAAACACTGGTCTCATAACTGTTATGAGCACAGAAAAGTAAACAGAGGTGACAGGTTTTTCCAGTCTCATATCCAGGCAGGATCCTGAGGTGAAAACAATCTGAAAGATAATGACTGTTGATAAAATATCAGTTGGCTTGGCCCCTATTTCTGTTTCAAGTTATTTAGAAAGAAGTCGTCTGTACCCAGAGCGAGCACCATCTGTTGAGCTCAGTTCAGGGACAGCACAGAAAGGGACTTTTATGGACCATGTGAACACTGTTGCTAAACTTGAGC